ATAGTATGCGTGTGTTGATCTTTGCGAACTTGCGAATAATATAATTTATAGTAAACTAAACCGTTTGATATTGAAACCGTTCTAAGATACCTGCGATTGTGGCACTATATAGAGGACAAATCGGTTAGTACATTTATACGATATTTGTCAATTTGACTTTATATTTTGTTCTGTCTAACGCATAGTTTTAACGTAAAGTAAGAGCGTACTTATCTTTGTATTCTAGTTGACGTCAGGTCTTGGATTATTGTGATATTGCGATTAAATACAATTCATACAAGGCTTGTCAGTTTTGATTTAATACGATTTAATTCCTCGGTTGCATTCGAAGTGCCACATAAAACTCGTGCGAACCGTCAAAATTCGACCGGGAGTTATAGTCAACGATTTTCTCGCGTCGATAGAAGGTCAACGGCGAAGGACATATGCCAGGTCAGTTCCCCTGAACATTTGAACTTGTTATCTTTGTACTGTAGTTTCCTATTTAAGAATAAAGGGCTGAATTGTTGTTAAAAACGTGTTTGGAACGTATATTTGGCGCCATTTTGAATTTAATTAATTCAGAACCTTGTTATCGGAAAGACGTCGGAAGGTCTTCGGTAGGACTTCGGAACTTGCGCAAATAACGCTAAAATGGACGGGGGAAACGCTGGAAATCCCGAAATTTTGGACGAAACTAATAAAACTGTGGAACAAGAAAACAGAGATCTGCCTTTAACTATGTCTGGACAGACAGATTCGAAAGAAAACATCGAACACAATTTTCATACTATGTCCAAGGTATGGAGAAAACAAAGCAACCATTTGCAGATTCAGCTTGTGAACAATTGCGAGATTACATGTTTGCAAAATGAGTGTCGAATCCTGGAGGAATGCATGTACAATCTTAGCCGAGCTCATGAAGCATTAGAAACTATTATAGAATCCTCTGTTGAAAAAATAGCACTTTATGGAAAATTCGAGGACATGAGTCGTGAGAATAATATGGTAATGCGACAAGTGCACCAGGCGATCCGTGATCTAAAAATGGATTATAGAGACGAACACTCAGTTATATCCAGGCGAACAAATCGAAGCGCAGTTTCTCGCAGGTCCGGTAAAAGTTCTATGTCCAGATACTCGAAGGGGAGCACTAGCTCATCTGCACGACAAAGACGGCAAGATTTGGAAGAAGAAGCAGCAATATTGAAAGCCAAAATGTGTTTGACTCAGGAGAAAGAAGAACTGGATCGAGTTAATCAACTGGCCTTAGTAGAAATAGAAGGAAAAATGTTGGAGATTCAACAGGAAGAAAAGAGAGTCAAGGAACAAATAGAATTATCCAAGGAGAAATTCAAGATAAAGGAAGAATTAGCTCAAGCGGAAGCACGGATCGAAGTGTGCTCAAGATACGAGGACACACCTTTTCAACTTATCGACGAGGTTGATTCCAAGGATGGATCTCAGGATCATATGCAGAAATTTCTCGAATCCCAGCCTGACCTAAGTCACCCAACAATGACTACGGAAAACGAGACTGAAATTGCCAACATTTCCAGATCCCCAGAATCCCAGAACCACCAAGCTAAGGATACAGAGAGCAAGAAACTACCTACAAACCCACTCAATCCCCATGCTCCTAACTATGTACCTAATAATGCCGATGAATCAACTGTAGTCGAAACCTACCCCAAAGTAGCTGACCCTTCCAGTGCATGTGAAGGTCCTGTAAACGCTCCAACCGCAACCACTACTTCCAAAGATGAGGCGAATATACTTCAAACCCAGCTGTGTGCAATCACCAAGTTGCTTGAAACCCACAACCAAGGTCGACTACCCATACCCGAACCAGGTATCTTCAATGGTGACCCATTGAAATATCCAATATGGCTAAAGGCCTTCGAAACGCTTATTGAAAGTCGAGCAGTCAATCCAGCCGAACGACTCCACTTTCTTGGAAGGTATGTGGCAGGAGAAGCCAAAGAAGTAATTCAAGGATTTATGTTAATGGATGGTGAGGACACTTATCAAAGAGCTAAAGAGATGTTGTCCAAACGTTATGGCGACCCATTTGCAGTGGCGTCTGCATTCCGAAAGAAACTTGATGCGTGGCCGCAGATTGCTCCATACGATAGCTTGGGATTACGGAAATATGCAGACTTCCTAGTTCAATGTGAAAAGGCAATCCAGAAGGTGGCAAGCCTCAAGGTTCTCAACGACGATCAGGAAAATCAGAAAATGGCCTCGAAGCTTCCCAAGTGGGCTCTTTCGAGATGGGGACGAACTGTTTATAAGTGGAAGAATGAGAAGAAGCAATTTCCACCATTCTTGGAGTTTGTTAACTATGTAGTAACTGAGGCTGACATCGCGTGTGATCCAATTAACAGTCGACAGCGCAAGAATGAAGAAGAGTTTAAGGGACTCAGGTTTAGAAGAGATAACACTGGTTCCAAATTCGCACCTCGCGATCGAAACAGATTAGATGCGGGCAGAGCTCTGGCAACCCAGTCTGATAATAAAGATCCCAGTGGAAATAAACCCGAAGTAAAGGCTTGTATGCTCTGCGATGGAACCCACGGATTGGAATCTTGCAAGAAATACAATGAAATGGACGTGAAAGCTAGGAAAGAATTTGCCAAGACAAAGGGACTCTGTTTTGGTTGTCTCGGAAGAGGACACTTATCCAAGGAATGCAAGAAACGAAAGAAATGCAATTCCTGCGGTAAGGCTCATCCAACGTCTTTGCATGGAGACTACAAGAACAGTCCTAAGGATTCGAAGTCAATGCAAGCCGGTACACAGACAGAACCACAAACTGTTCACTGTACTAAGACCTGTTCTGCGAGTGACGAATGTAATGCACAAATTAGTTCTATGATTGTACCTCTGTGGCTACATCACGAAAGCAACCCTGAAGCGGAGGTCCTCATTTATGCTCTTTTGGACGACCAATCCGACACAACCTTCATTACACAGAATGCCCTCAGTAACCTTGGCGTAGAAGGACACAAGACTCAGCTTTCACTATCGACCATGCATGCAGACAGCAAGGTTATACAAAGTCATAAAGTAAACGGACTGATGATTAACGACTTCAATCGTAGTACCCAGATACAACTCCCACACACATTCTCCTGCTCAACCATTCCCGTGAAAAGATCTCAGATCCCTCGGCCTGAAATGGCAAACAAATGGAATCATTTAGCAAGGATTGCTTCGGAATTTGCCCCCTACCACCACGATGTTGAAGTGGGTTTACTTATTGGAGCAAATTGTCCTCGTGCGATTGTGCCTCGCAAGGTCATCCCTGGTTGCGGAAATGAACCCTATGCCCAGCAAACTGATTTGGGATGGGGAATCGTTGGAAACGTGAACGAGTTAACCCAAGTGAACGATGAACCAACCGGCGTAGCCCACCGAATTGTAACCCATGTCGCAGTACCGAGAGGAGAGCGTGAAAGAAGATGCACTTTCTCTATAAAGAAAGTCGTGAAGGAAGTGATCAATCCGCAGCAGATCAGACAAATGATGGAATCTGATTTCTCTGAAAGGAGCAGTGAAAGACAGTCATTGTCAATGGATGACAAGAAATTCCTAGAGCAACTAGAGTATGGAATCCATCAGACAGACAATGGTCATTACGAGATGCCCTTGCCCTTTCGTGAGACGTTTCCCAAATTACCTAACAATAAACTTCTGGTACTGCATCGATTGGAAAGGCTCAAGATCCGTTTGGGAAAGGACGAGCGATACCGTCAGCACTATGTTGCATTTATGAAGGACCTTATCGATAAAGGTTACGCCGAACAAGTTCCTGAAGATGAACTTTCGGATGAAGCAAAGACAGCGTGGTATATTCCTCATCATGGGGTCTATCACCCACAGAAACCGGATAAACTTCGGGTGGTTTTCGATTGTAGTGCGAGCTACCATGGTGAATCGTTAAATCATCATCTGTTGCAAGGTCCCGACCTCACTAATGGACTTCTTGGTGTCCTATGCAGATTCCGACAGGGTCCGATTGCATTTTCATGTGATGTAGAAGCTATGTTTCATCAGTTTCATGTGAACGTTGCACATCGAAACTACTTGCGCTTTCTATGGTGGGAGGACGGAGACACTACCACCACTCCAAAGGAATTCAGAATGACAGTTCACTTGTTTGGGGCAACATCTTCGCCCGGATGCGCTAATTATGGATTGAAGAAAATTGCCGAAGACAACGAGGAAGAGTATGGATTGGAAGTTGCAAACTTCGTTAAGGACTTTTATGTTGATGACGGACTGAAGTCTGTGACAACCGTTTCTGAAGCAGTGTCAATGATCCACAAGACCAAGGATCTGTTGGCTCGAGGTGGTCTTCGATTGCACAAGTCTGTTTCAAATTCGAAAGAAGTACTTGCAACTATCGCACCTGAAGATCGAACGACCGGCCTCAAGAATTTCAACTTTACTGATGATCGTCTTCCAATCGAACGAACATTAGGAACGCATTGGTGCATTGAATCTGATTCGTTTCAGATCCGAATAACGTTACAAGACAAACCTTTGACACATGCCGTGGTATCTTGTCAACGGTGAGCTCGATATATGACCCGCTTGGTTTCGTTGCTCCTTTGTTATTGAAAGGAAAACAGATCCTTCAAGACCTGTGTCGCGACAAGGCCGACTGGGACGACCAAGTTCCCGAGGATGTAAAACGAAAGTGGGAGAAATGGAGAAACGACCTATTACTACTAAACAACTTAAAGGTACAAAGATGTCTGACGCCAGCTGGCTTCAAGCAAGTCAAATCCATCGAATTGCACCACTTCTCCGATGCGAGTACGACCGGCTACGGACAGTGCTCTTATTTGCATCTGGTCAATAGCAAGAACGAAGTACACTGCGCATTCATAATGGGAAAGTCTCGAGTGTCGCCTTTAAAGCCCATTACGATTCCACGACTTGAATTATCAGCCGCGTTGGTGTCTGTGAAAGTGAGCTCTATGTTGCACAACGAACTCGACTACGACAGCATCGTCGACGTGTTTTGGACGGACAGTAAGGTAGTCCTAGGCTACATCAACAACAACACAAGGCGTTTCCACGTCTTTGTAGCTAATCGAGTGCAGCAGATTTGAGACAGCACCTCACCCGACCAATGAAAGTACATAAATACCGACGAAACGTCAACAACCTTTCCCTCAACCATAAAGCCAGCTTGAATACTTTTCTTCTTGGTATCGCGCAAAACGAGCCATTGCGAATTGTCTGAAACTAAAGGACAGACTATGCAACATAAAGGCGAGGCAACATAATCAGCACCTGAACGTGGACAATCTCCGCCAAGCTGAAACAACCATCATCAAACTGGGTCCAACAAGAAGCATTTCCCGAAGAAATGAAAATCTTGCGCTCTTCCCAAGAAGACACTTCGACCAGATAGGGAGCAGCCAAAAGCAAAGCATCAATGAAAGGGACAAGTTGTCTTTACCAGTTGGACCCATTCATCGACCACGATGGAGTCCTGAGAGTTGGTGGCCGAATCAAACGTTCCAACGCCCCTCATCACGTCAAGCACCCCGCTATACTTCCAAGAAAGGGACATGTCACAACACTGATCATACGGCACTATCATGAAGCACTTAGTCATCAAGGACGTGGTATGACTTTGAACGAACTACGATCGAACGGGTTTTGGGTAATCGGTGGAAGCTCAGCTGTGGGTTATCACATCGCTAACTGCGTCTCTTGTCAGAAACTTCGCAGTACTGTCCAAGAGCAGAAGATGGCAGATCTTCCAAGCGACAGACTGGAACATGCACCTCCGTTCACATACTGTGCCGTCGATTATTTTGGCCCCTGGTATATCAAAGACAGAAGAAGGGAACTTAAGCGGTACAGAGTTCTATTCACATGCTTGGTATCCTGTGCGATACACCTAGAAGTTGCTAAAACGTTGGAAACTGATTCATTCATCAATGTCTTACGCTGTTTCCTAGCAAGACGAGGACCTGTCAGACAACTCGGGTCAGACCAAGGAACCAATTTAGTTGGTGCACGAACAGAACTTAATGAAACCCTAAAGAAGATGGATTGTGACGAAATACGACAGTTCTTGGTGAAAAGGGAATGCGATTGGTTTGAATTCAAGCTAAACACCACTACAGCAAGCCATGCTGGAGGTGTCTGGGAGCGCATGATTCGCACGGTATGGAACGCTCTTGATGGTCTTCTTGAACAGCACGGAACACAATTGGACGAAGAATCCCTAAGAACCCTAATGTGTGAGGCTGAAGCGATTGTCAATAGTTGTCCTATTGTTGCAACAGGGATGAACTCACTCGAGGTAGAACCACTGACCCCAAACCATTTACTCACCATGAAATCACGAGTGTTGATGGCTGCGCCGGGAGAGTTTCAGCGCGCTGATGTCTATTTGGTTAAAAGGTGGAAACGAGTACAATATCTCGCGAATCAATTTTGGGAAAGGTGGCGAAAGGAATTCCTACTGGCACTTCAACAAAGACAGAAGTGGAATACTCCTCGTCGTAACATACAGAAAGGAGACGTGGTGCTGCTGAAAGAAGATTCTGCACGTAATCAAAGGAGAACAGCGTGAGTAGACGAAATGTACGCAAGTGAAGACGGACTAGTAAGGAGAGTGAAGATTGTTGTTGGTGATCTGTTATTGAACGAGGAAGGGCAAAGAATACGAGCAAAATCAGTCTTAGAAAGACCTATACAAAAACTTATAGTACTGTTAAAGGCTGAAGAAATCGAAGTTAAGTAAATGAAGAGATTCCCCTTCGAGGAGCCAAGTTTGAAATGTGGTAAATTGTGAACAATTTAGGGGAGCCATGTAAGCGCTCTCGCGAAATGTTGGGCACTAGAGCCCAGGCTCTTATATACTTTGGATTGAGATAGTGTGTGAGTAGAAACATATAGTATGCGTGTGTTGATCTTTGCGAACTTGCGAATAATATAATTTATAGTAAACTAAACCGTTTGATATTGAAACCGTTCTAAGTGCGATACCTGCGATTGTGGCACTATATAGAGGACAAATCGTTGACGTCAGGTCTTGGATTATTGTGATATTGCGATTAAATACAATTCATACAAGGCTTGTCAGTTTTGATTTAATACGATTTAATTCCTCGGTTGCATTCGAAGTGCCACATAAAACTCGTGCGAACCGTCAAAATTCGACCGGGAGTTATATGGAAATATAAACTCATTCTTCCTATAGGAATTTCTATTTCTTATAGGAATTTTTTCACCATTTTCAAATCCTATAGGAATTCTTATAGGAATTTTAATTTCTTATACAATTACACTATTCCTATATCGCATTTTATTCATAAACTTTATTGGTAAGAGAATTTAATACTGGGACTATTTATTTTCTATTAGATTAAATGAATAATTACCGCAATATACACGACTGACAGACTGGTGTCTAGTTTTCTTGTCACGCGCGCAAAGCATCAAGGATAGATCATCACACCTCCAATATTTTTTCAAATTTTTTATATTTTTGAGTTTGTGAATGTTTATGTTCAAAATATAACTATTTTTGATGAGATTCAACTGGATTTTCACTAGTAATACAGCAGCGATGTTTGCATAATGTTCAGGTGAGAATAAGTTCATATTTTGTTTATAATATAGCAAATTATAAAGGAAATACCTCCAATCTTCGTTTGCGAAATTCGAGCATGTGGTTCAGTTTAAAATTTGAATTTGCCGTGACAATATAAATGGAATTAGAATACTGATATAAATATATTTATAGCATTCATACTTCAACAAATGCTACTATAAAAGTTTTATATTTGAATTAGACTTATCCATGTTTATTGTTTAATATATTTGTATATGCCAAGTGCCAACTGTATATGCCAGATTAATTGGCAGCCATTAATGCATGCCTATTGAAAATTTAACCACTTGCTCAAATCAGCAGCAACCTTACTAAGATTCTGATATTTATTCATATGTTATTGTTTAAATTAAAATTGATATTTCATTGTGAGAGGTCTTGCACCAGTCAGTGTATTAAAATCTGTTAGCCTTAGTGTAATGCCAGGAAAACTATCCATGTTTTTCAATGAAACATAACTATGTGATGGTATTCAAATTAACCAGACTCTCTACTTACATTTCATGCTAACTCGTTAAGATGAATGTGCTCAACTTTCAGTACTTTTTTATTTTACCTTGTCTAACACCAGAGTCTAACACCAGATCATTTTACTTGTGAAAGAGAGTGGACAACTTTGATAGGTTACCTTGCTGTCTCCCTGTGTTATGTGTAAACTCATTAAGACCCAATTCACAAATTCATTTCAAAGCTCAATATTTTGCCCTGTCTAATACCAGACTATTTTGCATTGTTTGGCGTTAACACATTTCGATGCAATTCACCCTAACACTCAATCCCCACTTTCAGTACTTTGATATTTAATTATCAGATGATTTTACTCATCAAAATGAGTGTTGGTCATTGAAAGGTTAATAATTAAATTAAACTGCAAAAGCTGCTGTGTTGGCATATTTAGAAGCAATGTGCCCTACTTTTAGTACTTTGTTATTTTACTGTGTTTATTCTATTAATGTGCTTGAATAAACACAGTAAAATAATACTTAGAGTAAAATAATAAATTGGGTGCATTTGGGCACATTTAATTAATGGGTTAACAAGACACATTTGAATTAAATAAATTTATTTGCTTTTTACAGCTTCTGCATCAACAAAGTATGGATGTAAGGCCTCAGAGGTTCGTCAACACATGAGGACAAAAATAAACAGCATGGGGAAGGCAAAGTGTTGCAAAGTACAGAAAAGCAAACAAGAACTTATTTGAGGACTATGTTTTGAGGCCAGTTTTAAACTTAACTTTAAATATCACTCAATTATGGTTATTACCTATGGCTTAGCCCATTGCGCTAGCGCTCTGATGAGTAAAATCGTCTGGCATTAGACGGAGTAAATTAGTAAAATAATAAAGTAGGGAGCAATGTAATTAAATGGGTTAACTAGACACATATATAGGAAGATAGGCTAGTTGACCCATTCAGAGCCAGCGTTCTCCCCTTGACAAGTAAAATTGTCTGGGGTTAGACAGAGTAAAATCGTCTGGCATTGGACAAAGTAAAAAAAAGTCTGGTGTTAGACAGAGTAAAATAATAAAGTAGGATGCATCATATGGCAGTGCATGGAGGTAGAACGGCACAATAGGTGGAAACTATAATTGATTTGTAATGTTTAGTATAACCAATTTCTCATATTTATATTTATAATATTAATTAGTATTTATTAATATTTATATCTATTTTTTGCATTAAAAAATTAAGAGTGATGAACAACATTGTGTGTCATTTACTATTTCATCTAGATTCTAGAATTTCTGCAGGAATACCCAAAATCTTATAGGAAATTAGGATAAATTATTTTCTTATAGGAATTCCTATAATAATTTGGGACTAGGAATTCCTGTAGGAAAAATTCTTATAGGAATTCCTGTAGGAAAAATTCCTATAGGAATTTTTCCTATAGGAAAAATTGCTATAGGAAAAATTCCTATAAGAATTTGGGACAAAATTCCTATAGGAATTCCTATAGGAAATTTTCATAAGAATTCATTGGCCATTAGTTAGAATACAAAAGTAAAGGGAGCATTGGAGCATAATCAGTTAATCTTACCCATTTTAGAAAACAGCAATTGAACTATGTGACAAAGAAACTACAGTATATAACAATGTGTACAAGCCAATCAAGTCTATCCTTGGACAACCAAAAACATTTCTCCAACATGTTGTCATTCTTCGATGTGTTAGTTCATTTGGATTTGCAGATGAAGTACTTGAAAGGTCAGTTTTAATTGTTTGTATCATTATATTAACTAATGACTATACACAAATTATATGAAAACTTTTCTCCAATGATTCCCCTTTGGCACTGCCTCTATGTTTTCTGAGTCAGTTTCCAGAAATAAAGAATATGCTCAAATTGTTGTGGATAGCCAAAAATATTTCTGTCATCAAATTAGGTTTTTTTCAGGGATTTTTTAGGGCTGCCTCAAAAACTCAATCTTGAATTGGGTTTTGAAACTCAACCTTCTCACCAAAAGTTTCATTGCTTTTGTGACATGTGGAAATTAGTTTGTGAAATTTAATTTGGAAAACCTGACAATTAAAAAAGTGTCCCTTAGTGCCCCTGCTAAACTTGGCTAAACTCAATCCTCTCATGTCTGTGGTCCCCCAACTTTTTCAAAACTGTTTCTCATCAGTCGAAAGTGAATATTTTTATCATTTTTTAAAATATTTTTGTTGGGGCATGTCGGAATATTTTACTCTGTCTACAACCAGACAATTTTACTTATCAAGGGGAGAGTGCTGCCCTCGATGGATTAATCAGACAATATCTGCCATTGCATACTGTTGCTGGATTAATGTTCATTGGCCATTAGTTAGAACACAAAAATAAAGTTGGGAGCATTGGAGCATAATCAGTTAATCTTACTCATTTTAGAAAACAGACATTGAACTATGTGACAAAGAAACTACAGTATATAACAATGTGTACAAGCCAATCGAGTCTATCCTTGGACCAAACCAAATACATTTCTCCAACATGTTGTCATTCTTCGATGTGTTAGTTCATTTGGATTTGCAGATGAAGCACTTGAAAGGTCAGTTTTAATTACTTGTATCATATTAACTAATGACTATTATACACAAATTACATGAAAACTTTTCTCCAATGATTCCCCTTTGGCACTGCCTCCCTGCCTCTATGTTTTCTGAGTCAGTTTCCAAAAATAAAGAAATATGCTCAAATTGTTGTGGATAGCCAAAAAAATTTCTTTCATCAAATTAGGTTTTTTTTCAGGGATTTTTTAGGGCCGCCTCACCAGAGCCACTTTTCTCATTTTTCATAAAGCAGCAAAAAATAGCAAAAAAGTAAGCCTATAGCCTTAACTTTTCGTCCATTTTCAGCCCCTTTTCTCATTTTTCATAAAGCAGCAAAAAA